TGTCACGTGGTGCTTTAGGTGCAGGAAATGGGGAAGTGTAAATAAAAGATGAAGGAGGATTTATGGATTTTGGAGTTCATTACTCGACTCATTTTTGAGCACTTAGTACCCCATTGCCTTCTGGGTAGCCTAAGCTGATTGGTTGTGATGGCGATGGGTCATGTGGTTTCGCTTCAGGCTCTGAAAGAAGCCCTGCAGTCTGAGAGGGAACATACATCCTCCCTGACGGTCCAGCTCAGAGAAGACCAGGAGAGCACCTCCAAGTGAGTGCCGTCTCGCAATCGCCAGGCCGGAATATTTAATATCGCAGGACTGTGTCCTCCGTCTTGGCCAGAGTAATCTGTGTATAGATGGTATTGTGGTGTCCTCTGGGTTTTAAATAGTGATATCGTATATCCTGTATCCTGTCAGAAGAAAAGCACCAATTTGCACCTCTGAAGGTACAATTACTTGTCACTAGGCTATACCCTCAAGGGTCTGCCAGTTGTACCCTAGCTGGAGGTAAATGTACCCTTTAAGGTACAGAAATGGATATCTTTGCACCATTGGGGAAACAAATGTTATTTGTACCTTGGGGAAAAAAACTACCAAAGCTGCACCCTGTTTTCTGACAGTATGCTGTGTGTGATTCTGTGTCCTGTGGTCCGCAGGGAGCTGGTGAGGTCAGGGGAGGAGAACGCCCAGCTGAGAAGTCAGGTGTCTGAGCTGAGCGCACTAACGCAGCAGCAGGTGCGTCCGCGTCTGTGTCCGTCTGTGTCCGTCTGTGTCCGTGTGAGAGCCTGTGAAGCTCAGTCGTCTCCGTTGAACACGCGAATGCAGCAGCTGTCTTCATGTTCTTTCATTGCCTTGTTGTGCTTTAGTGCCACTATATTTTTAGCGCTGAAGTTTTGCCTTTGTGGTGTTTATTTGCTCACTGCTCTTCGTCCCCCTGAAGGCTGCCGGCATCCTCGGCCTCGAGCGGAGTCTGTCCTCGGCTAATGCTGCACTCGCAAGTCTGGAGCAGAAGACCGAGGCAGATAAAGTGAGTCCGTCTTGCGTTTTGCTAATTGCTGCTAGTTTCGAAACCGCTGCTGTCGCGGTGACGTAGCATGTTAGCACTAATGCAGGCTTAGCACTTCAGTGACTGGCTTCTCACTCCCCCCTTACAGGCCTTTGTGGTGGACCTCATAAACCAAACCAGAGACCTGCGCAGTGACCTGGGTCAGAAGGAGTACAGCCTGGCCCTCCTGACGGGTGACCTGAAGGACATTACGGTACCTTGGTGCCGGGGGGGTGGGGGGGGACTTGGTTCCAGTACTCGGCACCTTGTATGAGTCCTGGCTTTTATGCTAACTCGATTAATCATTAAATGGTATGAAAGACAGATGCTAATGTCAACAGCTAAAGGCTGGAACAGGTCAGTACACTAGAGGAGCAGGCAAAATATTCCCAGAACCTGTTTTGGTTCAGTAATTTCCCCCAAAGGTGGTACTCAAACAAATTAATATTCGTCAATCATTAAACACCTGCGTAGAGTCTTGGTAACAGGTCATTCAGGTCATTAAGTTGAGTTTTTAGGGGAAACTTGTGTCATTCTCCATTCTTTAGCGTTCCCACATTACGCTCATTTAAAATCTTCCAGCTGTAATAGGGGAATGTGAGATTGGTGCTGTTTCAGGTTTAAGGTTAAGAAGCATGAATGGTGGATTCATGGTCCCCAGACCCCGAGGCTCCAGCAGGCAGGCAGTGACATGGTGCGGGGCTTACGGTGGCCTTTCTGCTGTAGGCCAAGTACACCTGTGCCTGCGGAGAACGTGAGGAGCTGCGAAGGAGCATCCTCAGGATGGAGGAGGAGATCCAGAAGCTGAGAGAGGCATCCCAACGCCGGGTGGCTTCCGACCAAATCGCTGTGAGTACCACACTCTGGCTCTGACGGCGCTTAACCCCCAGATCCAGGGGTGCTACACACTGCCAGAATCCCCCCCCCCCCACCCCCAAGCTTGCACTCACCTGTATACTGTATGTTTCTGTGTCTCATGGAGAGCAAGATTGGGGAGAATTTCCCCATGGGGATCAGCAAAGTCCCGTCACAGTTGTTGCTGTGACACTGTATAGTGCTGCACTGCGATGCGACATTAACACGTCACTTCCTGTCACTTAGCAAGAGCTGCTGCAGGAAGACCTGGCTTATGCTGCTGAGGAGGTGGACAGACTCACCAGGGTGCTGGACGAGCAGGCCGGCCTCCTGCAAGCTATGCAGGACCAGGCAGCCCAGAAGGAAGCCACTATCCAGGAGCTGCAGGGGCAGGTGTGTGGCACGGGGGGCATGGGCGTTTCAGTTTCTACTCGGAGTCCAGAAACCCTGTGGTTTATGTAGATTGGTGTGTTTGAATTGTTTAGTGTGCTCCTTGGACTGGCATAATGGGCAGAGCGCCCCTGTGCTTTCTGGGATACGCTGTTAGCTCCTGCAGTTGATAAACAATTCTGGAAGTTCTATGTAATAAATTTTTCTAATTTTTTTTGTGGTGATGATGCTGATTGCGTTTTATATGTATCTTCAGTGTTTCCCGTAGGTTTACAGCTTAGGGGGGGGCAGACGAACACCGACAGGATTCA